TGTCTAATCCAATCCATCTCCACTCTCTTCCACTGCATATTTGGACGATGGGTTCTCGGTTGGGTCGTTGCCAGACCACAGCTCCTTGTCGATTTTCCTTATTATTCCGGCCATCTGACCTCCATCATCAGTATCGAGTGAGCGTAGACGGCAGCTGTTCATGTATGTCTCCAGTGTGTTGGAAATGCTCTTCGTAACGCTCCAAGTCTCTCGACCATATAGTATAGAAGCAATGACTTGACTGACATTAGTGTTGGAAACCCGGATGTTGTTCACCATTTATACTGAGTGCAGTAGATCACCACACTGATTATTTCAGATTAGTGAAGACCTGTCTTGCTGCCTTTCTGGTCCTGGCTCTGACATCCTCATCTGTGCCGCCGCCTGTAGTTAAATACGATGCAGCCTTGCCTATGTAGGTAGGTGAAAGAGACAACTTCCTTCAGGTTCCCTCCATTGATGTTGATTGGTGCTTCTTATCATTGGTTGGCTATCTTCATCACATCTGTCTTCTCTACCTTCACCTGAAGGAAGTCCTGTCTTCCTTCGCTGCCTCGCCACACCTCTTCTGTCAACTTGCTAGTTTTCGCCTGTAGATCTTCGAGTTGATGCAACAAAACATTAGACATGAATAACCATCGGCGAAATACAAATCTTCTTCTGGGGTCTTTTCACCGGTCCAGCCCATCTTTTTACAGTTTCTTACATGATCCAGCCCATTCAAGTCGACCACAATGAGGAAGATCATCAGTGATGGTGGGTGGCAACCTTGTCCTACTCCTGTCTTCACTTGAAAGAAATCACTGAGCTTCCCATTGTGAATCACTTGGCATGTAGCATCATATACCATACAGCTGCTGAATGAGGCTGATAAAGGTTTTTGGCAATAAAAGCGTAGTGTTGAAGCAGCTATCAAATTGCAACAATAACAAAAGATGTGTATATGTATATACTCCTTTACAACATTTCAAATTGTTTAACGCAATGCGATGCCCAGAAAATTTCAGTACAAAAAATATTCCCATCTAGACATTCAGAAAAAGACTGACTCTGCTACTTCCGTGTGCATTTATCAATTCAACTGCTCCTATGGAGCTAGTTACGTTGGGCACATAAAGAGGAGGAAGTTTCATCGTGGAATTTCTGAGCACCACCCACCACGATTAAGCAAGGGACAAATTAGAACAATAAACAGCGGTATACTTGCACACTTGGTAGAAACGGGACATCAAGTAGATACTAGAAAAGCTTTGAAAATTATTCAGAAGATGTTTATTCGACCACTTTGATTACCGTGGCTGTCAACATGATGTACACATCTTCCCCCTTTTGTTTCTGGCGATTGGAAGAAGGGTTACCTTGTCAAACCCCCGAAGAAGGGAGACCTCAGTGTTTGCAAGAACTGGTGCGGAATCACTCTCCTGTCCACCCAAGGCAAGCAAAATATTAGGCCGCATCATCCTGGAGAGGCTTAAGGATGCACTGGATTCAAAACTACGACCGGAACAGGCTGGCTGGATTCAGGAAGTACAAATCATGTGTGGATCAAATTGCAACGCTTCGTATCATCATAGAACAGAGTATAGAATGGCAGTCAACTCTACACCTCGACTTTATCGAATTTGAGAAGGCCTTTGACAGTGGCGACCGAGAAGTAATTTGGAAACTGCTTCATTACTACGGAATACCGCAAACCTTTATCCGCCTCATTCAACAACTATATGAAGATGCCACATGCCGGCCAAGTAATTCACAATGGGAAGCTCAGTGATGCTTTTGAAGTGAAGACAGGAGTGAAACAAGGCTGCCGCCTACTATCACCCATGATATTCCTGATTGTGGTCGACTGGATCATGCAGCAAACAGTGGGGAACGAGAAGAGGGGGATACACTGGACGACGGAAAAGAACCTAGAAGACTTGGATTTCGCCAACGATGACTTGTGTCTGATGTCACACAAACTCGAAGATCTAAAGGCAAAACTAACAAGTTGATAGAAGAGGCAGCGAAGACGGGACTTCAAGTGAATATGGACAAGACAGAGGTGATGAAGATACCCAACCAACAACAACAACAAACTCCAGTCACCATCAACGGGAGAAACTTAAAGGAAGTAACCTCCTTCACCTATCTAGGAAGCACTGTTTCAACTACAGGCGGGACAGACGAGGATGTCAAAGTCAGAATCGGAAAAGCAAGACAGGCGTTCATTAGCCTGAAACCAGTGTGAAGATCTACTGCACTCCACTCAGCATAAAGCCTGAACAACATACGGATTTTCAACACCAATACCAGTCAAGTCAGTGCTTCTGTATGGCTCACACACTTGGCGCGTCACGAAAGGGATTCCCAATAAACTACAGACAAGCATCATCAACAACTGCCTACACTGGCTCGCTACTGAAGATCAGATGGCCAGAATAATATGAATAAGCAATAAGGAGCTCCGGGAACAAACCAACTAAGAACCTATCGCTCAACAAATATGCAGGAGGAAGTGGAGATGGATAGGGCATGCACTGAGAAGGCCGACTGGGGACATCACGCGTCAGGCCCTCCAGTGGAATCCCCATGGGAAACGACGAGTTGGACGCCCTATGTTCCACTAGGAACCCAAGAGACTAATAATAATAATCTAATTATTACGTAGTTATTTATTTCTTATGATCGAATACTTATCAAAAATCACTCCATTTACTTAAGAATTACATGCTTCATGTTGGCATTTTCAACTACTCTATTGATTATTTGCATCTTAATTTCTCAGATTTATCATCTTCATGACTTACTTAAGATCTCTATGACTATTGTTCACTAACCCTCGATCACCATTTGATTCGTATTTTGATTAAATTGTAAACCTCCTATATATTAGTGTAGAGTCCAAGACGAAGACCTAATTGAAAAGGAATATATTTCTTCGCTCAATCAGTCTTTTTTCTAAATATCGAATTGTGCTGTTATAAAAACTTAAGTAATGGAGAGAATATTAGTAGTGAGAAAGTTTTACATTGTTAATTAAATTATTGGGATGAGATTGTTTACTGTTACAAAGTTAATATGTGAGTTGTGTTCTAACACACTTTTCCCCACATAATATGGTTACTAGATAAGGTACAGTCGAGTTCTTGTACTGGGATGAACGAGAGTTTCTTCTTGTCTTCTCTGAGGAGATACAACATGACAACTGTGAATGTAGTGGATGCTCAATGTCGGTTAAAATTACTGTAGCTAATTCCTTGCTGGAACTTAAACGCTTATCAACTACAGTGTTAATCAGTTGGACCAGAGATATACCACTCAACCTATTGACGATTTTCAAAGTCCTACGGAATATAACACAGTCCCTTTATAGTAGACCAGGAAAGATCAATTGGGGGCAATAGAGAAGAATAAGTAAAATGCAAGAATTAATAAATTGAGTTATACCAGAGGGCCTCAGTTTCTTTATGGTGTAACTTAAACGAAAGACTTTCTTAGGAGTCAACAAAATATAAGACGAACAACAGAGATCAGAAGTAAAACTCAAGTGAAGATAGTCAACACTCGATTTACTTTCTGCAGGAATACCATCAATACAACAGGCGTCATGAGATTTAAGCAGTTTACACAAGTCTTGTTTACGCCTGAGGCTAAAATGAACAGTCTGACATTTATAAGGGTTTAATCTGAGACCATTCATCATCATCATCATCAATATCAACATAGGACCAGACATTACGGCGTAACGGTCCGAGTTGCCACACCTCATATCAGTACATCAAGTAGAAAGGTAGTGAGGTGAAAGATGAAGATAAGAGAATGCAGTCAAAAGAAGTACAAATTACGAGAAGAAAGAATGACAAAACGGTGAGATTCGATATAGCGTCGTTAAGATGAGGATAATGTGTGTATACATCTGAGCCACTCACATCGATTCTGAGCCACGCCATCACCTAGAGTCTCCAACCACTGGTTCCTCTTGTCCCGCGGACCTCAACCACCTAGTCTTCATCACCCTACATGGATGACTTAAACCGACGGTCAGAGACTTCATACATTGGTGCCATGTTTTAGTCTGGCCACCTCGGGCCTTTTTTCAGCCTGGGCTTACTTCGGCCAACATTGTGTGAAGAGGCAATCGGTGACTAGGTATACATAGTACGTGTCCCAACCATCTCAATCAATTAAGGCTCATAACTTCGTCAACTGATTTACCTCTACTCCCTAAAACTCTATATCTGACTTCTGCATTACTCACATGGTGGCACCACGAAAGCAACGGTGGTCAAACACTTGAAGCCTTCTCATATCTTCTACTTTCAATGGCCATGTTTCACATACATACAGTAGAACAGACCGGACTGCTGAGACCATTAATCAATTACAGACAAGAATCCATTTACTTGAGATCAATCTAAGAGTTGACTGGAATAGACATTGTCAGGTCATCAGCAAACTTAATAAAATTAGTTTCAACAGAATAAGGTAAATCGTGCAAAAAAGACATTAATCCCAGTTGATGTCAACTTTCTATACAAGGTACGTAGGCTTACTTTTAAAAAGATCAACTTCAGGGTGTTTCGTACCAACTCACGTCTTCTTTAGTCAACATATCGAACTTCAATAGAGTACACGACTAATGTCTTCGTTTCCTGCTTATCCACCTCCGACACACACACACACACACACACACACACAGAAAGAGAGAACTACAACAAGCATTTATTATGTTCAAGGCTCATGCACAAATGAAATGAGGTAACAATTTATATATATATATATCAAGAAGTAACGGTGTTAGACAGTACTTTCTCAAAGAAGAATTTTTTATCAATATTATGGATGAAAGGTATTCTTTCGTATGACATAATTCACTAACACCTACCAAATAGAAGTACACAACACACACATACACAGAGGAAGTGATTGCACACATACAATGTACCTATTGGTGTTCGTCTGAATATAGATGATGATGATAATAATAATAATAATAATAATAATAATAATAATAATAATAATAATAATAATAATAATAATAAAAATAAATAGAGGGGGATGGTTTTTTGAGAAACTGTACATATACACACAGTAATTAAGCATTAATTACACAAGGTAGTATTATACACGTTACAAGGAAAGGAGAGATTATACGTCAGTGATGAAGATACACCGTTACTAGATTGAATTCTGTCTATTTGTCTGTCTGTCTGTCTGTCTGTCTCTCAAATTACACAACATTCATGCATATGAAGAAGTTAATATCTGATTTAATTAGCTCTTCCAACAGGTCGATCTGAGCCATGCATTAGATGACCAACACGTTTCATTTTACGTTCCATTTTCTTTTGTTTCTTTTCATTGACTTGAGGTTCTTGATTTGGATCAAATATCCATGGTGCAAGTATATTCACCCAGAGTACATAGAATAAACGACCAGGAATCTTGTAATATAGTAAAAGAGACAATTTAGTGAATAATCCTTTTTATCTTAGAAATTTATGAAATGAATCAAAATGCTTTCAGAAACCTCGTGGATAGTTTTACAAGTGGGGCTATGGTTCATTAGTTTGATAAAGGCACGGGTTCGAGCCCCGTTCTACCTAATGAGGTTTGACCAGTCAATTAGTATCACTAACCCTCATACAATAGGTGTTGCTCATTGTCAATTGCACGAATGATGAAAATAGAAGTTGAAATGTACTCAAAAACCTTGTACATATCCGGTTAACGATACTACTTGGGATTCGAACTTAGACATTTATCTATAGAATGGATGGTCAACGCGTTCATCACGAAACCTCAACGTCCTGAGTTCGATCCATGGCAGTGTCGTAAGAGTGTACTGCTAAGCAGTTTCACAGTAGGACACATTATCAATGGTTCTCCTATTCCTGTCAGTCCATAATGAAAACTAACGTTAAAGATATCTATTACATAAGCAACAATGGTACTATAACTGTCTAAGCCCCGCCAAAGTGACAGTATACGTAACATCATAAACCAGTATTCAATGGGTAGCAATAAATAATGATGGATCTGGATAATATTGAAAAAAAATACCACTTTTCAACTATGCAATTGTAAAATACCAACTCACAACTAATAATAAGAACCAGAAATACTGATGAATTAGACTTAATAGTGTAACCAGACTGCACATGATTATAGTATCCTTTGCATGTCTAAAATATTAAAACACAATTTGTAAAGATTAGTATAATCTACAAATCAAATGAACCAATATGGGTAATGATAACCGAAAATTATCGGTAAGTTATCATTAACAATAACGCCAACAACAACAACAAGCTGCAATCACCATGATCAAGAGAAACTTAAAGGAAGTAGCCCTCTTCCACCTATCTAGGTAGCATCATTTCAACTACAGGTGGCACAGGTACAGATGAAGATCGGAAAGACAGCCAGGATCGGAATAGCAAGACAGGCGTTCATTAGCCTGAAACCAGTGTGGAGATCTACTGCACTCCACTCAGCATAAAGCCTGAACAACATCCAGATTTTCAACACCAATACCAGTCAACTCAGTGCTTCTGTATGGCTCACACACTTGGCGCGTTACGAAAGGCATTTCCAATAAACTACAGACAAGCATCATCAACAACTGCCTACACTGGCTCGATACTGAAGATCAGATGGCCACAACAATAAGAATAAGCAATAAGGAACTCTGGCGGGCTGGCAACGAACCAACCAACAACCTATCGCTTAACAAATATGCAGTGAAGGGGAGCGGAGATGGATTGGGTATACACTGAGAAGACCATTCAGGGACATCACGCGCCACGTCATGCCAGGCCCTCGAGTGGAATCCAGATGGGAAGCGATGAGTTGGGAGTCCCAACTGAGGGTGACATGGAGGAGATCGTGTGAGGAAGAAATGAGAGCTTGTGGGCTGTCGTGGAACCAGGTTCAAAAGTTTGCAGAGAACAGAGTGCACTGGAGATGTGCTACTGAATCCCTATGTTCCATTAGGAACCCAAGGGACAAATAGTAAATAATAATAATATCATCAACAATAGAGTGAAATAACTTGGCGGTATACTTTGTAGACAAAAAGGAAGTCATAATTTGGTTGATTTTAGTTAGCAGAGGAATCCAGGATGCTCCCTTCATCCTATTTGGGACTCATCAGCTGAATGTACCTCCACTCCAGTACGGAGTGATGTTGTTCCCCAATGAGACTGCAACCTCGCACTCATCGCTTCAAACGCCAAGGTGTTAACCAGTATGCCATGTCTCAGTGAGGACAACATCACTCTGCACTTGGTTGTAGGTACATCCAGCTGACGAGTCCCAAATAGGACGAAATGCGCATCCTGGATTCTTCTGTTAGCTACAACCAAACGATTTACCATAATTAACATTCAGGCAATATCGAGGCATCCGCATATGCCGATTCGATCCAATAAAACAATGCAGAATAAAAAGTATGCCAATAAATAGTAAAAAGGAAGTCAGCCTAAGAGAAATACGATCACAGCTGAAACCAGTGTCACTTTTACTTTTCTTTCAAGTAACGTTAACTCGGCCAGAGTTGTATATCGATAAATCGCATGAAGTCATTACAAAGAAATAGAGCTCGGACTTATCGGTTTTGCTATAATACCCCTAAATTTGCATAGACTTTGCCTGCTGTTTTGCCCATGATCTTAAAATAACCTACATAGCTGTTCTTATACACTTTACTGGTTTTTCTTCTCTCTGCTCTCAAGGCTGAACTCTCATTGGTTGTTAACTATATGTGGATTAAACGTAGTCAAGGTCATTTGGAAATGTACACATTCGGTATTGCTGTCAGCGGTTTGTCTTCTTCTCGTGTCTTCGCGCGTGGGTGGTGTTGTTGTAATGGTGGTGATTGACGTTCTGATTTGCATTAGAGTTAATTTGTTTGCATATTAGGTTGGTATCGCTCGTAGACTGTTAGGCCGTACTACCGATCATAGTAGCTTTAGACAGGTGACTTCCAATCGATGGGTCGCTGTTTCGAAACCAGCTATACCTAACAAGATTACGACAGTCAGGTAGTAACATAAAAACTTTGCATCTCGATTTGGTATATTGACTGGTCACTAGACTGTAACTAACTTCATGTTGTCTAGTCCTAAGTGGTGATCGAATTCTATTGATCATTTTGTGATGTCGCCACCAAGCTAACAGACTCACCATCGCGATGCACTGGTACAGGTGTCAGTTGAGTGGGGGTCATCGGCAGGAAACCATGTCCCATTTAGGTTTCGTGCTTCTTGAGACTCGTCAATAAGGCGTATATATCTGCAACCTCGGAGGCAAATGATGCTCATCTGACACTGGAACCAACGTCACCAAGTGCTGCTGTCAGAAAGATTATCAGTGAGCTACTCCGGCCACCATTGACCTGCTATACAAAACCCAAGCCTACAGAAGGTCAATCGCGGTCCATAAAGCTCAATGGTAACGTCTCAAACTGCAGCTCAGGATGACGTGAGTTCCAATTTCAGGCAAGACATCAGTTCCGTCGAGGGCGAAGATGCATACGCCTCCATATAACTAACATTTCGACTTGCAGACTGAATAATTCCTACGAAGAAGTAGTTTCTGTCCTGTCAGCTATAAGCGTGCTGAAAAGATAAACAAGAAGAAGATTTCGGCGTAATTGAGAAGGATCTTATAGAGAATGGATATCCCAAAAAGCATGGAAAAGAAGTTATTGAAACCAAAACATCCAACTGTTGAGAAGAAGCCTATTTTCCTTCGTCTAGCATTCAAAGGTGATGAGACATCTGAAAGAATAAGACAGGAAAATAAAAGCTGCACTGAGAAAGAGCTTCCCTGCTGCCAGACTGATCTCAGTTTACAATACATTATGCTCAATAAGACGGTGGAAAGCAGAAAAATACTCATCTCACGTCACCTCCAACTGCATATATCAATTCACCTGTGTTTGTGGAAGCAAGTACATAGGACGGACCGAAAGGAGGGCATCAACTCGATATTATGGGCATATTCCAAGAAATGTGTGTCTGAATGGTACCAAGGTCTTTAAGAATGCAATCGTCAGGCATCTGATAGAAACAGAACATCGAATATAAATGTTTCTCAATCCTCTAGGATAATTGATAAACAAAGAACACCATGTTTATGACGGTTCATGGAAGCTGTCGCTATCAAACATTTCAACCTGACATTTTTCCCTGTTCTTTTGATTGCATCATCTCTTCTCCTAGTGGAGAACCGATTGCAACACTATCTTTCTACCCGCTGATTTCATGATTGAATCTGAAGTATTCATGCAAGACACACCAAAGAAAAAGCTCTTCCAGGTAGTGATTTCGAATACCAACATCTATGTTATGTGATTGAATGAAATCACACAAAAAGCAGATGGTTTCTGTCTGTGGGACATTTGTGAAGAGGGATACAATATCCACCAAAATCATTCTTTTACCTATCAAATTCACATTCTTAATGGAATCGAAAAGGTCAAATGTGTCACGGAGATTATACTTCAACAGCCCTCTTCTTAGTAGGTTCAAGTATTTCCACAAGCCATTTCATGATTAAACTTTATCATATCTAGTATTGAACGGAATGGAATACCCATGCTGCGTATTTTCAGGAGACCGTATAAACTGAGATCGTAGAATCCGATGAGCGAAGTTGTTCATACAGTTAAAGTTACTTACCATGTACCGTTCAATCTTCAAACTAGTCTATGTATTCACTTGCTACACACGGAAGAAGCTATTGTCATACTTGAACAGTGTAAGAACAAAGAGATTTGCAGGATAAAATAGAGACAGGAATCGAATATAGATGTTTCTCAATCCTTCAGGATGATCAACAAACAAAGAAGGGAAGCGGGAGCTCTCCCTACCAAACATTTTCAACCTGACCTATATATCCAAAGGGAGACTAGAATCAAACTTTCTTTACCTTGGTAACTGTATACAATCTTCGCATGTGTATCTACATACTCTTCCTTTTTCTTTTGATTGAATCATCTCTTCATTAATTACTGACTGACTGACTGTTAGTCACTTAACGATTTTCTAGGTTTTTCCTTTATGCAACTAAGTAACCTACTAGCTCTTAAACAGTTCCTTCTTGTACACTGATTTTGGTTTGTGGTCTCCCTCCCCCCCCCCACCCACCCTACACTTTACACCTCCAGAATTTTCTATCTCATCTCCCCTTGATTTTGACGGAGATTTGTAATTATTATTCCTGTGTTGCCTTGACTCACTCAATATCTTATTGTTAAGCCGCGAGTTCAACTCTCCATTGATTTCTACACCTCCAACCTATGTTATACCATGACTACTACTACTACTAATACTAATACTTCATTTCAATTGTAGGCTGTTTGTAGCTGAGGAAAGGCTATGAAACAAACTCAGCTTATTTTATTCGGTAAACAGTTTTTGTTCTTGCATTGTTCACTTTTTTCAATGTGACTAAATATATGATATCGACATACTCTTCAACGAACTGAATCGTCGTATTCAGGAGAAAATTCGTACAACCTCTTCCATTAACCTGGTCATCAGGGTGAATTAACGTCCAACTTCAGTTTATTCCAGTTTTTCTTAGTAAAGGACCCTCGCTCTCCTCTTCAGCGCATATTATCTACTTCCTTCATTTGCCGCCTCCCTATAATTACGTAATTCTGTTAACATGTATCCAATCACATCTGAAGACTTTACACTTTCATGTTAGTTCCTACCGAATCAGTGAACTGACAACGTATCTGATTTTATTTGACACTCCTAATAATCTTACGTAATCACCTCCATTTCTCTAATTTTAACCTTGTGAATAACTATCAGTCCATAATTATTTTAGCTAATTAGTGTTATGTAATTAATTTCAACTTGATATTCATTATGGACTGACATTTGTTGGAGAAGCGTTGGAAATCTAGGAGCTCCAGACAGCCGTTGCATCATAGTATGACACCCCTCAGAAGTGCGCACCCATGACCCCACCCCGCGAGAGATCGGAACCAGAACCCTTATATCCCATGACCAGCACGTTACCACTGAACCACTGGGTTGGAATCGAATGGTTCATAATTCCAACTTGTCTCAGTTCATGACATGATCCAATGTCATCGCTGAGTATTTGTCCTCATGTTTACTTGGTTTGCTCCACCGGTCACTGGTCACGCTATATCATGAACTGACAGAAGTTGGAAATATGGACCATTCGATTCCGACTCAGTGGCTCAATGGCAGTGTGCTGGCCACGGAACCTGAAGGTCCTGCGTTCGATCTCCGGCAAAATGTGGTCATGGGTGCTCACTCCTGAAGAGTCACATCCCCCAAAGGAACAGCTGTCCGGTGCCACCAAGTTTCCAACCTCCTCCAACTGATGTCAGTCCATGATGAATACCAGTAGGAAGTCAATAAATCCCCACAAACCCCCACACAGAAACAGTTAGGCTGGTCAGATAATTGTAGTGGAGTAAAGATTCAATGGTTATTGAAGGGATGTCTATCATCAACACTTTCACTAAAACTTAATGCTTATGCAAGCCGAGTCTATAATCCAATTTGTCAGGATATTTTTCACACAGTCAATCCATGAAATCAGAAAACTTTTTAAGGTGAACTGAACAGTTGGATAAAGCCATCCAACTCTCTGTATCCTTACAACCGTTTTAAATGTTGCCTAGGAAAATGATGGTGAACAGACAGAACCCTTCATTTCAGTACTAGTTACATATGCGAGAACAGTTCCATTTCTGTGCAATTGGAGATGAGAAGAATAGACATCTGAATGTTTACAAGAGTAATGGATGAGACTAGAAGGGAATGAAGAAACTGATTGTCAGTTTTCAGCTTCTCAAAGGATCTGAACATTGATGAGTGAGCTTAATGACAATTTTCATATGATTTTGATTTTCACTACAAACAGTTGTCTGTGTGCAAATCAAGAAGTCTTGTATTCATTCGATTTCAAGTACTCTGCATCTTCATTCAATATGCTCACGTTCTTCAGATGCTGCAGCAAAACAGGGGTCACAGAATAACCGTAATATATGATCTTTAGACTAGTGATCCTGACTTCTGCTTATTTAGCAGAGCGAGTAGGACATCTGTTTTCAACTCAAAAGGTATTGATTTTATAGCCATAACAACTAAACATATATTTGTGTGTAAAGATTAGTTCGGAAACCAGCAAGACTTTCTCGGGTGGTTCACCTACTCACTCCTCTTTTGATGGTCGAAGATAACGGGCAATAAGGCCAGTAAAACTTGTTGGCCGATTCGACGGAGGGTGAGGATGTTAAAAGCCCCAGGAGACTGGTGGTGGTGTTGTTCAATATCTAGCCTGAACCTGAATGCAAGGCACATGTCGGTCCTCCAACTCTCCTTGGAGTTGAGAAAGCTGTATCGGACCTGAAATGATGGACAGCAGCAGGATTTGACAGTTTACTGCCTCCGATTTCCAAGGATAGAGGTAGGAAATTGTTAATAAAAATGATGGCGGTAGTAGAGAGTGCACGGGTATCAAAGTTAGTGCCATTATATTAGTCCACCTCACTGGTCATCGAGGCCTATAAAAAGGGAGAGAAATCTTTTCGTGACAACCATAGTAGAATTAATTTGACTAATACTGTGTCCAAGATCCTAGGGTTCATAGTTATCCGACACCTGACTGGAGCTCGAGAACAGCAAAATCCAGAAAATCAGGCAGGTTTCAGACCTGGATGAGGGTGCATAGGTCATATTTTACCCTCCAACAGGTTCTGGAACACAGGTATTCTTACCAACGGCCGATACTTTTCATATTCCTTGGCCTGAAGGCGGCACTTAACTGGTTGATTTGAATTCTGCTGGGTAAGGACACTGACAAAATGCGGTCCTCCGAACGCGTGGAGTAGAAATCTGAGTCTTTGGTATGTTCACGGGTACCTATCAAATGTAAGGTGATGCTCTAGGACTGGTCTGCTGCAAGTATTCTCGGCTTTAAGATAAGGATTGAAGTGCTGGAATGTGCCGACCACTTCACTTACTTGGGGAGTTGTATCAGCCCGAACGGACTGGTTGCTGCCGCAATATCGACTCAGAAGGCCCGTTTGGTACTTGTCAACTTGCGTTATCTGTGCAGCCCACTGCCGGGATATCCGATTATCTATCAAAGGACGAGTATACTCCACTGTCCTGTTGTACAACTGTGAGACAGCCTTTAAAAGTAGAAAACATGACGCGATTACAGACCTCTAAACACTGGTGTCTTCGTAACATTGCTCACGTTTTGTGCAACAACCGTGTGAGCAATGTTCATGTCAGGCGAAGGATACTAAGCACGAAAGGTAATTCGACTGACGAGGTTGTGAACCTGTGTCCGCTGACGTGACTTGAATATGTATGGCGCATCCCTAGTCACCACCTACCTCGATGTGACATGTTAGCGGAAATTGGGGTAGGTTAGATGACGGTTCAGGGTGGCCAGATCGAGAGGTGATACCAGTCAATGAAAGTCTCTTAGCGTTGGCCTGAGCCGTGTGAAGAGATGTAAACTGCCCGGTTGGGGTCCCGAAGCAAAAGCAATCAGTGGTGGAGAACTCTTGGTGACATGACCGAAAATAGGTCACAATGGTGTGGATATAATCACTCCTTAACACCTTCTAAAGCTTGAATATTTGCACTGACTTTTATTTTTGGATTGTTTTTTCTCTCACATAACTTTGTATACTTTGATACCACCCCTTTTCTATCTGTTTACTGTATACTACAGTGAAGTGTGGCAACTTGGGCCGATTCACTTGTGCGCGAGGTTCTACGTTGTTTTTTTCAGTCAGTCAGTGATGTTGTTCCGTGAACTCAGACAGTTGTCAACAGTTGCAAAACTGGAAGAATTTGAAGATGATATAAGACTATTAAGCGAGAAATGTGAAAGATTAGAAGTTAAAGTTTCGAAAGGTGGATAGTGATCTGAGGGAACCTGAGTGCTGACAGAGATGTGAGAGCAGTTGACACTTTCCGTCTGCTTATATCGAGAAAAAAAATGACAATGATAACTTCACGATTAAACCATCCACTTTACAGAACACAATAGAAGCACGATAGTCCAAGCACACTCAGAAAAAAAAGTAGTATTAACACCGGTTACTAAATGAAAAGCAAGTAACTGAATGTTGATCTTTTCTAGTGAAAGTATTCTTAAACCGAAAACACCAGTTTTAAATGGAAGAAATAAACAAAATACCCACTTACTCTCCAAGTCCACCGGATCCTATATTTAAATCTAATCCAGCATCTACCAATTGACGAGTACCACGATCATTGATAGCATACGTTGGTGTAGCCATATAAGACATAAATTTATAAGCAGCTGAACATATACTGAAGCAGGCTAAAGACAGCGCTATATAACGCTTTGTATATGTTGACCAGAAGAAGGTTAATGTGACCAGGAAATAGACAGCCTACATAAAACAAAATTGGATGAAGAATACAAGCATATGAAAGTCATGAGAAAGGAAGCACAATCAGCTATGACTTGTCATAGACTCTAACAATCTCGTATTTTAATGATTCTTAGCACTGTACTAATCTTTTGATAACTGCAAAAGACACTAACTTTTCTTTTTATGCTTTTGAAGTGTGTTAGCTTGAACTACTAAGCTTTATTAAAAGCTTTAGCCACTCTGTATCCTCGATATTGTTTGGCTGAATTGAAATTCTAGTTGATACAATACAACTTCGTGGGCCTTGTGATACAATATGGTTATCCTCCAACAGTATTGGTATTACCTTCAATGTAAAACCGGTAAAATTGACGCTTCAATATCCCGAGACTAGTAAGACCTTCAGTAATTAATTTGAGGTTGGTAAGAACATAGCACTATGTATGGGACTTGCTTGAATTAGATAACAATCAGTGACTTATGAACCGAGATGCAGTAGGTATAAAAATATTATCTAGTGGGAGATTCGAAAAAAAAAACTGTAGAGCGAAAAATGCTACAATTATCCGGGTTTTTTTCAATTAATCGTGCAAAAACAGATACGGTTTTAAAGTTCTTGAAAATGAAACTACCGAAAACGTTATATGAATTCCTAAAACAACACTAGCTGGCTCTCAAACATCTTTAAGACAACCAGCGATGTCATAACTCACATGGCACAACCAATAATAAGATCCCAAACAGAAGTTTTTTTTAAATTTTCCACTCAATAGTTAACTTCTTTCTCCATTCCTATATAAAATGAAGCATGAGGAAAACAGACATGCAACCCAGTAATGCATCTAGTCCTTATTGTAACGTTGAGTACTGGTTAGAAATGGAAACCAAGACACAAACCATCCAGTTTCAGACTCTTCGGCTAGATACGCATATTTTTCAGTCTTGTTGTTTCCAATGGGACTGGAATGCAGCACCAGTCGTTTAAGGCAGCACGTTACTCGGTGAGCAACTGAGTTACAACAGACAATCTTAGCGTTGTGGTTACGAATTCTTACTTCCTATGGTTGGTTGGTTTACACCGAAATGAGTAATTGCTGGCAAATGAGAACGTACCAAGAGATGAACTTTGTATTTGCATCCCAGTGGGATAACATACCCATGATATTGTCAAGACCATCATCCAGCGGCAATGCCACTTGTGGCCAGACTTCCTGAGTTTGGTGTACTCAGTTTGCGTTAGGTCAGTGCAAGCGCCATGGGACCACCCGTTGCATGTGTCACATTGCATACCCATCTGTACAGGTTGACGACAGCCCTGCTTCTTGCACATCAGTTTGACCACCATTGTAGTCAAAGGGTTAAAAAAATCAACAGAAAAACTTGAAAAAGAGTAGTAACCTTAGCGTTATCTGATCAAACCAAAACTGGAACAAAGGTGAAGCCTAGTTATCCTGGTACGAACAGAAAAACACGTAAAAGTAGGGTGAACTTATCGAAGTGGAAGCTCGAGATAATACTCAAACTGAAAACCAGATCTGTCGTTGCGTTATACACAAAAAAAAGCTAAACTGCTAAATCACGGTAAGATTACATTTTCTTTCAAAATTAAATGTTATTCACTGCTATTTTGCAACCGCAACCAGAAAACCCAGGCACCGAGGGTATTGACTGCGATTCTCGTGAGTAAAAGTTCCTCCAGAATACTATGAACCTCAAGCGAGTAATTACCCGAAACGTCTCGTAGATGGCCAAAAAGCACGATGACCCCAGACCAAGGCTTATCAAAGTAGTCTTTCCGGCTTATCAAAGGACAGCATTTACACTGGAGGCTTTGTGGGCGAACATAAGTCGCCTGCCACCTGGAGTCCGCATGCAGCCTGACAGGTCGCAGAACGGAAGGCTGTAACGAAAACAGAAAAAACTGGAACTAGCTGTACCTCTGGAAGACTGCTTTGATGCAAAAGACGGGGAAGGGGTGAGGAACACTACACTGGTAGGCAGCACTTAGGCACATTCCCAGCCCCCATTCCTGAAGATCCAGCCAGCCAACTGGAAAATAGAGAGGGTGCAGACATTGCATTCCAAGTAGATAGCATAAGTTGCATCTATACAAATGCACAAAGTTTACCGAACAAACTAGACGAGCTGAGGGAACTAAGTAAGGACACTTATGCTCACCTTATCGGCGTTACTGAGACATGGGTTTCTTCTGACATGTCAAATCAGGAGCTGACAATTGCTAACACCATGGTGTTTCGCAGTGACAGGAAGGCTGGTAGGGGGTGGGGTAGAACTTCACGTCAGCTCCTCCTTCCCAGCCCACCAAATCCATACTGAAGAACTGGAATGCCTTGAAGAGTCCATTTGGTGCATCATAAAGCTGTTCTAGACTATAAAGTACTTGGTGGGAGTCATTTATAGGAAGCCATCTGCTGACTTACAGTATGATGATCAGATGCCAGAAGCAATCAGTTAATCTCTTAAGTTGGGGCAAACATACTAATTTTAGGCGACTTTAACCTACCGAAGATCAACTTTGTAGATCACACATTTAGGGGGAGTGATGATTCCATTGAATCCATGTTTTTCCATCTGGTTGGGCAGCCGGGGTTTAAAGAAAATGTGAGAACGGTAACGCGAGTGAGGGAGACTCAAACCCCATCTCGCTTAGACTGCGTCTTCATAAATGAAGGATTCCCGATAGACAACTTAGCAATCCTTCCTCCTTTTAATAGAAGTGACCACGTTGTTATCGGCTTCCAGTTTATCTGCGAAACCAATCTAACCAGACCTCTCAATGAACGTCGTTGGAACTTCACACGACTTAACACTCCGGCTCTTCTAATTGCACTGGAACAGACAGATTGGGAAGTTAGCCATGTATGGCAAGATATGAACACCCACTGGAGATTCATACTTGACAAGATCATCCATGCAATCAGTCAGTATGTCCCACTTTCGAGGCCGAAGTGCCTCAAGTTACCTAAGGTAATAAGGAACCACACTCGCAAACTACTTAAGTTAAAGAGACATCACTGGGATGAACACAAAAGGATTGGCATCGAATTTACCTACAGACAATTCAAACAGACAAGAAACATGTGTACGAAGGCTTTGAGAGCCGATTGGCAGCGGCATCAAGTCAGGCTCACAAACATGTTTGTGTCTAACCCAAGAAGTCACTTCCGCTACGCTGCTTCATTCCGGCAAGCTAAAGCGGGAGTCACTCAACTACTAGGTGCAAACGGACTGACTAATGGTGACACTGGAGCAGCTGAGCTCTTGGCCAGCCAGTACCTGCTAATCTCTTAGTCATCGTCCACCTACTCAGGAGCTTACAAATATCCCACTAAAGAAGTAGGACTCTCAGTCATCGACCTAAGCGTTGAGCTAGTACAGCGCAAACTGCTACGGCTCACCAAAGACACCTCTCCGGTACAAGATAAAATCCATCAGGCGGTACTGCGGGAGGGAGCTTCAATCTTGTCCGAACTTTTAAGTAAGTTATTTAAGAATTCTCTGAGTTAGGAGATAGGTCCCGACTCTTGGAAGCTGAGCCACATAACGCCAACGTCAAAGAAGGAATTCAAAGAAATACAGACCGGTGTCACTTCTATCCATTCCTTTCAAAGTAATGGAATCGTTAATATACGATGGACTGAGAGATTACCTCACAAAGATAGGTTTCTCTGCACCCCAACAACATGGATTTTGAAAAGGGTACTCCTCCACTACCAATTTGGTCACTGCAGTAGATAGGTGGACTAGTATTGTTGGCCGTCGAGGACGAATTGAAGTTATCTACCTAGACTTTGCTAAAGCGTTTGATCGAGTGAATCACGACTGCCTTATTGATAAATTGAAATTAACCGGGATTCGACCTCCGCTCACTGACTAATCGTCTACCAGGCCGTTCATTTAGAGTTCGAGTGAGTTTCTCTTTGTCTGAAGAAACAGAATATCCTAGTGGTTTACCCTTAAAGTTCAGTACTAGGGCCTCTCCTTTTCCTAATACACATAAACAACTTGCCTCAACAGGTTTCCTCCAAAATCCTTCTTTTTGCCGATGACGTGAAACTCTGGAGAGAAATCAAAAGTGAAGACGAGAAGGTTTCTCTATAGGAAGACTTAACGTCACAACTAGATAGTCGACAATGGGCTGGCATTTATTCCTAAGAAGTGCAAGGTGATACACGTAAAACGCGATGTATCTCATGTGTATAGCATCAATGGCATGGAACTTGGAGCGTCATTGATAGAGAATGATTTGGGCGCCTTGGTTCCTCAAGACTTAAGATCCTATGCCAACTGTGACAGAAACGCATTTCGTGGAAACTTGGCAGCAGCAACTCTTAGAGGAATTCTCGGACAATCCGATCGTAGATGCTTCCACCAAATTTTTAACAGCTTCATACGGCCCCACCTGGAGTTCGGGATCGTCGTCTCCCCCCTGATCTCCAGAAGGACAAACTAAGCTTAAAAGGCATCTAGAGGTGTTCGACAAAATCTGTTCGAGAACTCAGGTCTAAAACTCAAGAAGAACTGGTTGCACTGGATCTGTATCCTGTGGAATAAAAAAGGCTAAGAGGAGACTTGATAATGACTCACAACATTCTGAGCACACCTGGCCACTCACCCTGTCACTTATTAAATCTTAAGTGTAGCACTAACATTACAGGACACACACAGAAACTAAGCCTGGAACATAGCGGGTTAGATGTCAGGCACAACTTCTATCCTCTAAGAGTTGTTAAGCCCTAGAACGCTCTCCCTGAAGATATGATCCAGGTTACTTCGTCTGAATCCTTTAAACGCTGACTGGATACCCACTTGACGTGTGAACAGGATTTGCCCAGAACAAATTGAATTTTCACATCTTAACCACCACTTTCTCTACTTGTACACAGGTTAACAACCACAAGGAGTAGTGATCCACGGATTGTAGACGCGGAAGCTAGTCAAGCGAAAGCTTCTTTTATTCCGTCAACAACCATTTGAATCTATATCAGTCGGAATATGGAACCTTTAGAGGTTATGCTCTCAAGAGGATAGTCAGAATTAAAGTCTAAATGGTGAATCTGAACATGCCTCACATTTGTATTGACATCTGATGACAGACTGATAGAAGACTTCACAAAGAAAAAATAACTAGGTAAATGAGAAAAAACACCATGCCACAGAAATCAGTCTGAACCTTTACTACTTAGCAATGTCTGCTGTTCTAAACAAGGAAACGTTTTGCAGCTTCTGATATTATGAGAGTTAAAACTGTTTAGAGAGACAAAACAATCTTTCAAAACATAGAAGCTGAAAGGCAGTTACGTACATATGAAGCCAGAAACAAGTATCGATAAAACCTGAGAGTTCGTGTGTTTTCTTCATGAATAAACTTTTCACTCTTTGTGCCTTCTTTGGGAGGTTTCTTCTGATTGATCATTGCTGCACTAAACGTGGCCTTGGTGCAACGACCACTTCAATAGAAGCGGCTAAACATTCAATATACAATATTTTTTCTAGGGAGTAGTAAACGAACTGATTTCTTCACTTCTGTTCCTACGTCTTTTGGAGCGGTTCCAGGTTTTTGGTGAACTGTTGTACAATGATCTACCCAGTAGCCTGATGTATTTTTGTTATGCCGGCCGGCAGCTCGTGTTGACTTAATTTGTAGGGGTTGTATGATTTGTCAAAGGATTTTGGTGCAGGTGTGTTCCTCCAATGTCATATCAACAGGTAGTTGTGTAAAGAAGATGGAATGGATGAAAAAATGCCCGGTAAAAACAAGTGAGAGGAAGTATTAAAAAACTAGGTGAACAGAAGTGGAACGAAAGAGAAGGATAATTCTAGGTAGATTCAGAGAAGATAACGGTGACGAGGAGTACCCTGATAGATCGAGTGAGATCACAGAGCTAGAGACTGGAGAAGGAGCAAGTGCCATTGCGGGAAGTATCATGGGAATAATTTTATCAGTATGGCACGACAACTGGTGAGACGCCTACCCGGGAAGTATGAGGTTAACTCGGGTTCACGATGATGGTGACAGCACTTTAAATTCGGTGTACGCTGACTGTGGTAGATTTTGCGTAATCGGTTGGTTGTAATGGCCTAGTCCGCATCTCAGCTGGATGGGCGCAAGCCACATGTCACTGCATTGGTATTCGTCCTCTTCTTGAAGCTGTCGACAGACGGAGTAGCAGCCCTAGCAGACAATACTTTCTGGAGACTGAAAACTCATGGAGAGAGAAAGGGTGAACATGAACAGTGTTTAGTCCTTCAGTGGGTCATTCCCTCTGGCTTTTCGAGAAGGTTGATACAGTGACCATTCTGTAGGATTCCATAATTCGGGTGGCTTCAATCAGTTAGTGTTTTATAATCCGTCATCAAGTCGCCTAGTAACCTACCGTAATTAAGAAAATAAGGCCCTGGAGCTTTCACCATACTCCTTTTCAGACATGGCAATGCAACGATGTGGTTGGCCTCTAAGTGAGGCCGTATGTACGCCTTGCAGAGCTTCAGGGAGAGTTATAGGGTGACGGCACCAGTTGCAGCACTGCACGGTCCTTTGAGTGTCTCACTCATCATTCAGTATCAGTCCCAGGTTTTTCCCCACAGTAGTGCGGAAAAGATGAGCCCGTCAGAGATTACACGATACTTTTAGGGAGTTTGGAGTGCGAGGTAGCATGGCTCGGTATTTATCCAGGTTAGGTGCAATTCCTTTATAACTCACACACTGCAGTGAAGTCACTTTTTGGTGCACACGATTGTTTTTAGGACATCACAGGCCTCCATGACCTAAGTTTTAGTCGCCTGCCTGAATTCCTAGGCCACTGAATTTTCCATCTGTAGTATTGCATCAAATTTTTCCACACGTTCGTTTCATTCCTTCCATTATATCCTCTGGTAGTATTATATATTCACGCATATTTTTAAAAAGCTTACAGCCTTCTATGATGCCATTATCGAATAAGATGAGGGATATGCATCACGAGCCATGGTAACTTGCTTTGAAGCGAATAACCTCATCTCAAGTGACCCTGCCCGAAACTATAAGCGCAAAATGCAGGTCACTGTGGGGAAAAATGGATTGCTTACAATGTCCTATATTCTCCGATGTGTACCTCAGTACTGGGGTAATTACTCCGTTTACCTGAGATCTCGATGAGCTGGTATGCCCCACACCTTTCATTAGAACTGAGGACACCGTATCGGTCATGAGTAACAGTATTAACCACCACAGGAAAGGAACAGATAATAAAAGGACAGTGATGGAAGAGATCCAGAGAATAGTTGAGGATTTCCACCCACCAGCAAATCTTCTTGCGAAGCGTGAGAAGTTAGTTCAAAACCATGTAGAGAAGGCAGAAAATTTAATAGACTGTTTAGCAACGAAGGTAATGAGGAGACTGTTGTCTCCTCAACAGGCCATCGTCTATGACGTACTTGATACCCTACCGTTGGGTATAGTTAGGGCAAAGGTATTAAACTCATGTGACTGTAAACGCCCCCACAAAGTTAACACAGCCCAGTTGCCCCATAATTTTCAAGTTCACTACTTCGTTTGAGGACAAGAGATTTATCAAGCTACAAGACCACATAAGGCTACGTAGCAATTTTTAAAATATTGCCATTGTACAAGACAAAACCATGTGCCAACCCAGAAAACAAAGAGGAGGTAGTTTGATCAGTCCATCACCTTTAAACACAGACTGCTGTGTGCACGAACAGGCCATCAGGAGGTGTTGGCGCAGCCAGCAATTCTCTTAGATATACCTCTTCCCCGGCACTACGGTCTCAATCATATCTAGCAACAAGTGAACCCAATCCTTCAGTTGCTGCCAAAATGAAAGCCACTGGTGTTGTCCCTCCAAAAGTGACCACGAATAGAAACCCGCTGGGTGACAGAAAACTCAGACGCGCGGGGGAAACTTCACTAAAGTTCAAACTTTCTTGAAAGGAAGACTATTTCAGGCACGTGTTTTCCAGTGATGGAGAGGAATACTTCATAGCTGAGACAATGTCAACACACAAATCCAAAAGGCAGGTTTTCCCTAAAACTTCTCTCAGGAATTGAATACCACGACAACTCGGCAGTGCATTGCATGAGACCCCCCTTGAACTACGTCTCTTCAATCATAAGAGTCATAATGTGATGCCAAGTGGTGTACCGGATGCCCAAATATCCTACATATCACAAACACTTAACCTCTGTTCAACTGTGCACCCTAATAATCCTGGTCAGTGCTCTGGGAACAGCCATGTACCGTCTGCCAGAAACTTCCCCACTTGTGAACCCCACCAAAGCGAGTGCTAGTAGCTATGGGTCCATCAACATAACGCCAGCCGTCTCTCGAACTATGGAAAAAGTGAGTAAGAGCTGCATTTCTGACTATCCACTCGAGGAAAACCTCGCTAGAAAGTCTCGGCAAGGTTTCACTAAAAACAGGTCTTGCGTTACTTGCGATTTCGATTTCTTCAATCTTATCACTAGTAGCCGCAATGCACGTAAAATCGTCATTGTTCTGTGCCACGATATACCAAAGGCACTCGAAAAGGCACCACATGGTATGCTTTTGACAGGCCACTATCGATTAGCATTTATGACCCTTAACTTCGTTGGCTAAAATCACGTCTTAGTGATCGTAGTCAAATCGGTTAAGTAAATTCTATGCTGCCTAAACCTAAGCTCATGACTAGTGTAGTGGTGTAGGGTGGTGTCCCTGAGCCTATGTTGTTTATAAATTATATAAATAGTTTGTGGAAGCGCTTAACTTCAGGAGAAGCATTCCCATACGCCCACAATCTAAAGGTTGTATACTCACGACACCCATTAACTAGGCAGTGCGCTGTCTACCGCACAACAAGCGTTGAGTAGTTTCCGAATGGTGTGCCGAGTCCCCTTTCAAGTTCGGCAGTGATGAATGTGGCTGGCTTGGCATTGGAAGCGATAACCTAGATGTGCCTGTCGAAGTCCGTGGACCAGAGCTGCCTCAACATTCTTCAGTGCCAGATCGTGGTCTCAGATATTCCGGTGACTTAACATCCTCTGAACAAACAGTTTGTATCATACCCAAGTTACGTAGTTCCCTGGGATGCATCATCCGTAGGGTTTTATGGTACCGAACCAACGATCCTACTCTACAGGATGTGCGTCCATCCAATTTTAGAATACTACCCATTTGCTCTAAGTGGCCTTCGTATAAGCGACAAACGAAAATTTGAAGAGGTATAGGCTACTTTGCATCAAGAACACTGGGAGCTGATTGCAGCCTAGGCTACATCTCTGGATGCAACGTCCTAGGACTAAAATCTCTCTGGAATAGGCAACTTGGATTGAATCTCATATTTTATTATAAATTACTTCGTAGGCAAATGCAGCCACGTAGTCCAGAAATTAAAACAGTTCTAACATCTGCGCACCATATACGTAATCACAATCTATTGGCTGAAAATGAATGCTGTAAGACTGAACTCCCAGGTAATTTCTCCCTCAGTAAGGTCTCTCACATGCTTAATAGACTTCCTGAGGAAGCATGTACTGCAGATTCGTTGTCTTTCGCTCTTTACTTAATAAGCTCACAGATGAGTCTGTCACTCACCTAAGCACTATCTATACTTTCTGGGCTAACGAAAAAATATTAGGACCTCTGAACGCATAAGGCAAGGCTACCGTAAACCTGAAGTACCTTTTACCTCAGTGGACTAGCGAAGGGTGTATGATTACTAGTTCATCTGGTTGGATTGTGCAGTTTGATAAGTACAAATATCAAGTCAGCGTTCCCCTTATGTTTACTAACAAAATCAGCCCACCTAACAATTTGTATGAACCTTGTGTCAGAAAAACGGAAGAGTTATTCTCATTCAGATTCAGATTTGTTGTTTGGGGATAGGGGGCTGGGGGCCTATATTAACTCCCTCCTAGTAGACTCTTGTGCTTGTCCAGTTCCCTTTTGAACCGGTCAGCTGATGACACGGACACCATTTCTTTCGGGAGTCGGTCCCAGGCGTTGATCACTCGAATCGAGAACCTGTACTGTGCGGAGACTACATTCGTTCTTTGCTTTTGTAGTCTCCTACCATGTCCTCTGAGGTGTTTCGACCTGGTGGGAAGGAAAAGAGAGGACAGATCAGGTCCAAAGTCATTTCTTAGGATCCTGTACGGCATGATTAGGTCTCCCCTCTATCTGCGGTAGGACAAAGTGAGGAGGTTCAGCTCTTTAAGTTGGTCGTCAAAGGTGAGGCCAGCTATCGCAGGGATTATACGAGTGATTGCCCTGTGAACTCCTTCTAGAAGGTCTGCGTCATCTTTCCGATTAAAACCTAGCCAAGGGTGTGTATGAGATGGTGAACGTGTCACCGCTTATCTTCGTAAATGTTCTACCTGATGCCCAGAACGTCATGGGACCCCTAGCTGCTATCAATCAATCGTGAGCCGTGGTTTTCAAGGCATAACTCACCGTGACTCCTAGGTCATTGTAGGTCAGTACTGGCGGTAAA